ATATAAAATAGACAGTCCCGTGATGCCCTGTGACACGGAGACTGGGACTGCGGAATGGGGCAGTTACAGGTGTTGTGCCGTTTATTGTTACTTTCCTGTATGGCTGACAGGTAACCTTGTGCTGCCATGTTGGGATTTCTCCATGACTACATCTGTGCTCATTTCATTTTTTCCTGAATAATAAAGAGGACTTTTTTTTGAAGACCGATGAAATGCTTTTTTCTGAGAATTAAAACTGAACATTTTTTTCTGTATAAATATTAAAATCAGAGGTGGACAAAGGAATGAAATAAAAACAGAGAAAGACACCGATGCCAATTCTATCATGAAAAATGGAGTCTCCATCTCAGTCTGCAGTTCGCTCCGAGTCCTTAAAACAGACTTTCTCTTACTTGTGATCATGAAAACAGCATTCATACTGTAAACAGTAACACTGCTTTTCCCATAAGTCAGCACAGAGCACAAGATCAAATGACAAGCAGTCCCTGCAATGTCCTTAGCCTTACTGCTCTGAGGGTTACATCTTTGGTGAAATATTTTTCCTAAGGTGCTGTGTGTAGACTGCAAAAATGGGTGAACAGAGGCAGCTAATCTGTGTGTTCTTCCATTGGCTGTGAATCTGAGGAGATGTAAGTGGAATATCAGTCTATGATGAGTGAGCTTTGGGCATAAACAATGACGGGACCTATGCATGAAACCTAAATAAACAGTACCATGTGAAAACTGCTTGTATGTCTTTATTACTCTGAAATCCGATGTTTTTGGGTCGTCCAGCACCCGGTGTTGTGTCCTCATAGCTGTAACCCTTTACCTTATGACGAGACTCCAAGTGGACGCAGGCAGTGCTGGATGGATTGGGCAGCCTTATGGCTTGCAGCAGGGATATTTACAGGGAACAGTTCACTTAGTTGTGTGTACATTCCACAGGGATAGCAGGGGACAGGAATAGACAGAAGGTGCGCATCCTCTTCAATCTAATTATTATGCCACCAATGCTTATAGCGCTTCTGGTGCTTTGCTGCAGTCATAACTGAAATCCGAATCCCCCATAGAATCTCTTACCCCAAACCCCACAAGAGTCATACCCCTAGCACCAATATAGTTGTCACACCAAAAAACAAAAACACATGTAAAATGCATCAATGACAAAAAGAAAGTCTCAGAACTGTCTGTTGAACGTATCTGATTGGGTGTCGGGAACATTAGGCTTCCCTGAGATTATGCTCAGAAGAATTCACAAAGATCTAACACACATGATTGTACTGAAGACATAAAATGGAAGCTCACATTGATTCTCCTCTGTTCACAATCATTCACTAAGAACTATTTGGCACATGGGACAGTTACAGGCTAAAGGAGATCTGCTACTGTTCTGAGCTCAAGAATGATCAGCAACCCTAAAATCAGTTTCAAAACATCTTCATATTCTTGATCCCTTAAGATCACTGGTTCAGGCGAGGTTCACGCCTCATACGGATTGCCGCGCGGTCAGGAGTCGCCAAGGTGTGAACCGATCACGCTGTGGGTGCCATTATGTTCTAATGGCACCCCAGTTGTGCCGGGCAGATCACGCAGATTCCGCCCTTGCTTCCGAACACGATCGTGGCTAAAAAAGCCGCGTGTTGCGTATCGCAAAAA